CTCATGGACTGGAAGATTTAATACTGTTAAATATCAATATCCCACAAAACAATCTAACAAGTCAACTAAATTTCAATAAATATCCCAACAGTCTTCTTTACAGAAATAGAAAGACCACCCTCAACTTTGGATGGATAAGCGGGAGACCCTTACACAACTAAAACAACGCTGGAAGAGAAGAACAAAGCAAAAGGACTCACACTTGTGATTTTAACTCACTGGACAACGACAACAAGCAAAGCATTCTGGTAATTGTATAATAACTGATACAGAGACCAAGGGAATAAAACTGAGAGTCTAGAAATAGACCCACACATCTCTGCACTGTAATCCCAGAGGTGCACAGATCAAATCCACCAGATGCTCTGCTGGAGAAGGAGGGGCAATCTCCTCCTGTACCAGTAAGATCCGATTTGACAGTACACACACACAAAAATAGTAAAAAAAAAAATTAATAAAAAAAGAAAAGAAATAAACCCACACATCTGCGGTGAACTGATCTTTGACAAGAGCTCTAAATCAACTTGATGGGGAAGACAAGTCTCTTTAATAAAAAGTGATGGAAAAACTGGAGTTCCTCATGTTGTAGGCAAATGAAGTGGCTTCCATGCCTTATACTATACACAAAAACAGACTGAAAATGGACCTCAGTGTGCAGACCACGACCATAAAGTTATTACACAAGCAAGCAGGAACAGTGTCGCTGGACCTGGCTTTCAACAGTAGATTAGCTCCTAGAATAACAATAGCACAAAAAGCAAGACAAAAAGAAATGTGAATACAACATAATAAAAGACTTTACACCAGAAAAAAAAAAGATGAAGACTTACCAATGAAAAAGTATCTTTGGAAACTGTGTATCTAATAAGAACATAATAACCAAAAGATATTTAAAACTTTGACAACAAGAAAAAGGCAAATAATATATCCCAAAATGGAAAACGGACTTAAATAAAAAGACTTTCACCAAAGAGGACATTCAGATGGTCACCAAACACATGAAAAGATGTTCGGCATCATTTCATCATCAGAAAGATACAAATTGCCTTCAGTCTGAACTGGCACATGAGTAGTTCAAGTTACAGTGAGATACCATAATTCCCACAGGATGGCTAAAATAAGTATTTAAGAAATCCACCAAAAACAGAAGGTGCTGGCATGGATGTGGGGAAACAGTAAGGCATTTTTGATGGGGAGGCAAAATAGTACGTTGTTGCTGTTGTGCGCTGTTGCGTCAGAACCAATCAATAACTGACCCTCCAGCAGAAGATTAGATTAGCCACCCTTCTCCCATAAAGCAGCTGGTAGATTTCAGTCATGTGCCTTTGGGATTGCAGTGCAGCTTCTTACCACTAGGCGACCAGTATAAATCCTAGAAAAACATGTGACAGTTACCCAAACTAAAAAGAGAAACATATGATCCAAATACTCATATGCAAGTTCAAACTGAAGTTGAGGAAAATGAAATCAAGTCCATGGCAACCAAAATTTGACCTTCAGTCTATCCCACTCGAATTCCAAAACAATCTCAGGAACAGGTTTGAGGCCTTGAGCACCAATGAGCATAGACCAAATGAGCTATGGGAGGATATCAAGAAAGTCGTACATGAAGAATGCAAAAAATCGTTACAAAGGATGAAAAAGAAGACCAAATGGATGTCAGATGAGACTCTGAATATTGCATTAGAGTGCCGAGAAACCAAAGCTAAAGGAAGAAACCAAGAAACCAAAGAGCTAAACAGAAAATTTCAAAAGGCAGCCCAGGAAGATAAAACAAGATACTATAATGAAATGTGCAGAGAGCTGGAGTCAGAAAATCAAAAGGGACGAACACGCTCAGCGTTTCTTAAGCTGAAGGAGCTGAAAAACAAATGCAAACCATGGGCGGCAATACTTAAGGATACTTTGGGCAGTATATTAAATGATCCAGAAAGTATCAAGAGAAGATGGAAGGAATACACAGAGTCACTGTATCAGAAGGAATTGGCTGACACAGAAGAATTTCATGAAATGACATATGAGCAAGAGCCTATGGTGATGAAAGAGGAAGTTCAAATTGCTCTGAAGGAATTGGCAAGAAACAAGGCTCCGGGAGTTGAAGGCATACCAACTGACATATTTCAACAAACAGACGCTGGCCTGGATGTACTCACTAAATTGTTCCAAGAAATTTGGAGAACAGCCAGCTGGCCCATTGACTGGAAAAGATCAATATTTGTTCCCATTTCAAAGAAAGGTGACCCAACAGTGTGGAAATTATCAAACAATATCATTGATATCACATGCAAGCAAGATTCTGCTGAAAATTATCCAAAAACGTTTGGAACAATATGTCAACAGAGAACTGCCAGATGTGCAGGCTGGATTTAGAAGAGGTCGTGGTACTAGGGATATTATAGCTAATGTAAGATGGATCTTGGCAGAAAGCAGAGAATACCAGAAAAATGTCTATCTGTGCTTCATTGACTATGCAAAGGCTTTTGACTGTGTGGATCACAACAAGCTGTGGCTGACTCTAAGAAGAATGGGAATCCCAGAACATTTGATTGTGCTAATGCGAAACCTATACTTGGACCAGGAGGCAGTCGTCAGAACAGAGCAAGGAGACATTACATGGTTCAAAATCAAGAAGGGGGTCTGTCAGGGATGTATTCTGTCTCTATACCTTTTCAATCTGTATGCAGAGCAGATCATCCGAGACGCTGGGCTATACGAAGAGGAATGTGGCATCAGGATTGGTGGAAGAATCATCAACAACCTGCGTTATGCAGATGACACAACCCTGCTTGCTGAAACTGAGGAGGACCTGAAGCGCTTGCTGCAGAAGATCAAGGACTACAGCCTCCTATATGGACTGAAGCTAAATGTCAAGAAAACAAAGATTCTAACCACTGGGCCAATTGGCAGCATCAGTATGGATGGTGAAGAGATTGAGATAGTTAAAGAGTTTTAGTTTACTTGGCTCCACAGTCAACGCTCTTGGTAACAGCAGCCAGGAAATCAGGAGACGAATTGCATTGGGAAAGTCGGCTGTGAGGGACCTCTCAAGAGTACTGAAGAGCAACGATGTCAGGCTGGAGACTAAGGTGCGCCTGATCCGGGCTATAGTCTTCCCAATTATGTGCTATGCATCGGAGAGTTGGACAGTGAATAGGGCTGATAGAAAGAGGATTGATGCCTTTGAGCTGTGGTGCTGGAGAAGAGTGTTGAATATACCATGGACTGCTAGGAGAACAAACAGGTTTGTTCTGGAGAGGGTGAAACCAGAGTGTTCCCTGGAGTCAAGGATTCTGAAGCTTCGTCTGACATTTTGGGCATGTTGCAAGGAGGGACTGGTCCTTGGAAAGGGACATCATGTTTGGCAGAGTGGAGGGGAAGCGAAGGAGAGGAAGACCTTTGGTGAGATGGATCGATTCTGTGACTGGAGCGGTGGGAATAAGTGCGTTTGAGATGGCTAGGTTGGCACAAGATAGAACAGCATTTAGAGCTTTTGTACATAGGGTCGCTATGAGTCGCAAGCGACTCGATGGCACGTAACAACAACAACAACAACATGATCCAAATGTTTCATCATAGGTATAAATCCAAAAGCTTTAAAGGCAGACTTGTACACCAATTTTCATTTCATTACTATTCATAGTAAATGAAAAGTGGAGCCAATCTTATGCTCTTTAAAAGATCAACAGATGAACAAAATGTAGGATGCATACGCACACACAATGAAATACTATATAGCCAGGAAGTAAAAGAAAATCTTGAAATATGTTATAGAGCATATATGGAGCTAGAAGACACATCATGTGGAGTGAAATAAGCACAAAAGGATAAATACAGTATAATCTAACTTCTAGAAAAAGACCAGAAAAAGCAAATATATAGCAACAAAGCGTCCAGGTGGTTATCAGGGGTAGGTGGAACAGGGAGGGGAAGGAGGATTGATGGTGATGGAAATACCAGATTGATTTAGGATAGGTTTGCACACTGATTACTCTTTTTACTATCAGTAAGTTGTACCCCTGGAAATAACTGAATTGGCAAAAGATGTGTGAAGATATATTTATAACAATGACCAAAGAACAAAACTAAAAGAGCAGTTGCTAAAGCTCTTCAATACAACCTCCCGGGATCTAGTTCTTTGGTGTGGAGGTTTAAAGCCATACTTTCATAGAATATCTGAGCTGATCTGACCTAAAGATAGGACAGTGCTTCTAGTCTACCTTCTGTGAGAAGACTGTAAGAGGGCATCAAAGGCACAACAAATGGTCTCTATTTGCCTGGAACAAGAGGGAAGGGAAGTCAGGAAAAGAAGGATAGGGAATGTGTGGCTAAGTGTCTCCAAGAGCAACTGTCACCTTTGTCATATGAACAGAAGAACAGGATGGTGCCCAGCTATTATCAATGAACATTATGATTAATGACTCCACAGAAGAATCCTGATCAAAAGGGAGGAAATGTAGACGAGGATTTCAAAGTATCAGACTCTGTAATTTAAAACTTTCACATACTCTGGACTTTCTACAGGCATGAAAGGTGACTAAATCCCTGAAACTATTGCCCTGAGATAAGTCTTTAAACCTTAAACCAAAAATATCCCCTGAAATCTTCTTAATGCCAAACAATAGTTAAGTTTAACTAAGAGAAAATGACAGCTTTGAGCATTATGATTTTGAAAGAACTAACTACAGAAGACAAACTGGTAATAGCAAACTGTCTGGAAGATAAAAGAGCAGAGAATTTGTGTCAGTAAGCGGGGAACAACTCGTAAAAGGTCAGAATGGTCGCACACCTCTAAGGATGAAATCATTATCACTGAATAGTACATACAGGAACTGATGAATTAATGTACTTTTGTTGTGGACAGGGTAAGATTCATCTGTTGTTTATTACTATGACTCTTAGTTAACTTCATGACACCTAAAAGTTGTAAGCAACAAATTAACAATCACAAAATAAATAAAATTCCAAGGAGAGGATAAAAAAAGGGTAAATTTCAGACTTACTCTATTAATGGTGCTCCATACAGAACAAATATGACATGATAGCCGAAACAAGACACGAGAAAGTAGATGCAGCATTTCAAAAATCTGGCTACCTAAAAAAAAAAGAAATGAAGATCTGAAGACTCAACAGAACATCTCAAAGATAACAAACTTTCCCATTTCATCTACAGACACTGATCATTACCATAGTGTGGGAAACATCTAATGTCTGGATTTGAGTGCTGAGAAGGTGAATTGCATATCATGCATATTATCAAGGAAAGAGCCTACAACACAGCACGGTCAAAAAGACCAGGCAGTGAGCACCACTCCCCACGTCCAGAACCTAACAAACACAAAACTGAAAAGTGGGTTTTGCTCGGCTCTGCTGTGAGTAATATTTAGAAAATATTTATGAATAGCAGAGTACAGGGACATAAGAAAACTCAAGACATGATCCCTAATACTAAAGAGCTAAGAAGACATACATGAAGCACCTGTATGATAATTAAGAGCTAAATAAGTTATTCTATTTATTGCTAGGAAATCTGTACCAAAAGAGTAATTTAAGAAATAACCCCCCCAAAAAATAAATAAATTTAAAAAAAAAAGAAATAATCTCCAAATCACATTCATGTTACTCAAAAGAAATGCAAACTCATTGCTGTTGAGTCAGAAGTGACTCACAGCTTACCCCCTACAGCGTGTTCAGAGGCTGTAAATCAGAGAGGAGGAGACAGGAGCAGTTGGTAGATTTGAACCACCTGCCTTTGAGCTGGCAGTGCAGCTTCTTATCCACTAAGGTCGCCTATGATTCATATGCAAGAAGATCTGCTTGTGTGCAAATCAGTGTGTGGGACTAGCTGAATTTAGAGTTTAACAAGATATAATTACAGATCACAACCATGTAGCTTTCCCATCACTGAGCAATAAAAATGCCTTAAATTACCTAAGAGACAGCTTGCACACACTATCTAATAATGCTGAGTGAGAACTTAATAAGTCTACGTATCACAGGGATCTGGTAGCCTTGTGGTAAGGAGTTGTGCTGCCAACTCAAGGCTCCTAGTTCAAACCAGCCTCCATGGTAGAAAGATGGGCAGTTCCCTTTCACGCAGTTGACTGCCTCTAAAAACATGCTGGACGGTCAGTTACGGCCCCGACATGATGGGACATGACAACAGTTAAGGAAGACGGTGCTCAAAACAATCAAGCTACCTGGGAGGATTCTTCTCCAATTCCTGAAAAACTCATTAGGTATCTTTCAGAAACACAAAGCTAAACGAAAATAAACTACCCTACTTTCACAATTTAGATTCAGTGACTGGGATAATTGGGATGGGAGTGTCAGAGACAGTGCGATTGGCACAGGACAGAGCGGAGTTTAGGGCTGTTGTACATAGGGTCGCTATGAGTCACATAACAACAACAACACTTTCACAAAGCAAGTTTCTATCAAATATCACAAACTTTTTAGTGATACTAAAACCTGAGACTTTATCAAGATATAGGCTACTGCAGTGAAAAAGAAACATGTTAGTGAGAACTGGACAAGTATTTCACTCACCACTTTAAAAAAAAAAACCCACGTTAAACATTAGCCCCATTCAAAAATCAGTTATGAAGAAATAACTCTTACCCTGTGCGACAGTGAACTTCTTTTTGAGGGAGTATTTGGTTTTGCCACTAAATACAATGCTAGATTAACAACTGTTACACATCCAGAACAGATGCACAGCCATGTCAAGTGGGTTTCCAAGATTGAGAAGTTCTCCAGAAAGAGGGCTGGAACCAAGGTGCTCAAGATGATGGAGAATATGCACAAAAGATGGGCGTACAACAGTCGCTTGATGTCAGTATCTTTCATGTTGTTTTCTTGAGTGTCTATCTTGAGAAAAACAAACTGAATTAGTAAAATAAAATAAAAATATGGTTTTTTCATCATCTAAGAGCCTCAATATTTCAAAATCAGCCATGAATTAAAGTTAATTCATGGACAATAGTGTGTTTCAAACACAGGAAGACGTATATGTGTAAATGCAAATGAGGGTTTAAGAGTATGTTTTACTTTCAATTTTCTTACTATGGAATTGATCCTTCTACCTAAACAGCTCATTCATGAGTCTGAAAAGGATAAATTTACTCAAATATGGAAGTAGGTATTTGTGACTGATTTCTAAAACAGAGGCAGATAATCGTAGGGCCAATTAAGCAAGTCATTTTAACTTTTCCTTTTACCAATATCAACCCTGGGGATCAATGGGGTGACAGATGTCACAGCCAGATCGCCCTCACATCCTCCTTTTACCAATATCATGGAAATCAAGACTGCATGGATTAAACAATCAAGACTGCATGGATTAAACAATCATCCTTGGAAATAAAACCTACGGTTTTTAGAAACCTCATGAGCACACCTTGGCCAAGTTGTTAAAAGATTTTATTTTATTTTATTTTATTTCACTATTGTTGACCTTTGGCCCAACATCGTCCTTTGGACTTTACATCTTCCAGCAGATGCCAAGTGATGCCAAGTGCACACTTGAATATTCAAATAATACTGCATTCTTTGAAAGCATTCAAAGAATGTTCTGCTAAGGGATCAACAAAATAAAACTGGAAACCACTTTATTCCAACTAATGGTGACCCGTATGTTGCAGAAACCAAGACAGCTCCAGAGTTTTCAAAGCTGTGATCTTTCTGAAGCGGATCCCTTGGTCTTTCTTCTTAAGATTCCCATAACTCAGGACACCTACTGAGTCCTAGGGCTCCCCAAACACAAAAATAATAATAATGTTTCTTTAAAGAATAGTTAAATACTGATATTACAAATACTAGCTCCACAATCAACACTAGCAGTCAAGAAATCAAAGGACGTGTATTGGGAAAATCTGTCATCCAGTGCATCTCCAAAGTGCTAAAGAGCAAAGATTTCAGGTGACACCTAATGTGAGCCTGATCCAAGCCACTGTGTTTTTAATTGCTTCACATGCATCTAAAAGTTGGACAATGAGTAAGGATGACAGAAAACCAATAGATTTCTTTGAATGGTGGTGTTGGAGAAGATGACTGAATAATAGCCCATGAACTACCAAAAGATCAAAACTAGTCTCTCATGGAGGATATGCAACCAGGGTGCTCCCTAGAGGGAAGGATATTCAAACTTTGTCTCACATACTTTAGACACACTGTCAAGAGGGGCCAGTCCTTGGAGAAAGACATCATGCTGGGGGAGGTGGAAAGGGTCAGGAAAGAAAGCAAGACAGCAAGACACTCAACAAGATGGATTGGCACAGTGACACAGACTGTAATAATGGTTTGGGGTATATGAGAGTGTGAGGATGGTGCAGGACAGGACAAGGTATGCTGTTCACAGGGTTGCTATGAGTTGTAGTCTACTTGATGGCATCTAAAAAGAAACTACAATTAGAAGTAGCAATTAATTGCAAGAGGGAGGAAATGTACTTGAGACACATACACATGCATACAGAGCAGAGCAAGCATGAAAGATTGTGAGAAAATAATTTTCAAAGTCAAATGTTTCTGATAAGGAATCAAATTCAGATAGGACAAGAGGCGTATCAAAGCCCCAGCTCCCTAGTGCTAAATGCTAAAGCCTTATCAAGGTCCTTGACATCACACTAGGAAAAAGAATGGAGGGCAGGGAATGACAAAGGAACTTTCCCACGGGTTCTCTCCTCAACCAATTAGGGAGGAGTCTACATTCTCACAAATATTCCTTTGGACACCATTCTTTCGGGCCGTTCTAACAAGACCAATTAGCACCTGCAGATCTTGCTCTAAGCCAGTGAGTAGTGCACAAAAGCAGACGTTTTGTCAAGTAAATGTAGAGAGACTTGGTAGGGTGTGCCTACCAATAAACTTGGGAGTCCCTCCTGAGAAACCAGCACCGTGTTAGGTTCTGGGCTGCCCCGAGGATGTCTAACAGGAACTCTACCGAGGGCCCACGTCCTGGCGTTATAGGTCTATCCTGACCCAGATCTACCAGCATCATATCGGGACAAGTGGGCTGCTTTCCTGAAATGCTTTCCAGGGACCCATGGCGTGTCCACCAACAGCCGCACCCCAAACTGGTCAATCTAAGGCTCTGCCCAAACCTAAACCATCAGGATTACAGGTGGCAAGGAACGTGCTGACAGGCAAAATCTAAGAGCAATCGGTGTAGGGAAAGTGAGGTACAGGGGGAATAGCTGGGATCTCCCCCGTCGGGGGAGCACCGGGGTCACGCCGGAGTGATGGAGTTTGGACAGTGAGCCACACACACTCGAGCCCACTTGTGCAGTGGCAGGGGTTGCCCGCCCTCCAAGATGCGAATGCGCAGGAAGGGTCCCAGGAGGCTTACCTAACTCTCCCGCCCGCGGAAGAGGAGGGAAGGGAGCAAGGAAGGTAACCACCTCCCACCATCAGGTAAGACTAGGTGCCTTCGACCATGCGCAGGCGCAGAGTCGTGGGGGCGGAAACTCCAGTCCGAACAGCCAATCACAAAGGGTTAGGGGCGGGCAAAGGGCGCGGCACCGCCCTATCAGGTGTAGGATAGGCGTGAGCGTAATTAGGGGCCGGAAGTAGTTTAACGTACCCGGAAGGAAGATCCTTTACAGATTGTAGTGTTGATGTTTTGGGGTTGGTGCTGCGGGGACTGCTTTTAACGGAACCTTCGTCCTCTGAAGGATGGTGTGCGAAAAATGTAAGTTAAGGGGACGGTTTGATGGGCGAGTGGCCTAGGAGATCCTGGCTGGAGTCCCCCGGAGATTTTGCCCTTTCTTTGTTTTTCCTCCTCCCACACGCCTTCTGAGTCTAGCCTTTTCTCCTGCCCTGCCCCCGCCGGTATCCCTACACCAAATTCAGCCTAAATCACTGTGCTAGAGCGATGCTGTAGAACTACTGGGAGCGGGGGCTGGGGGGAGGAACTCTACATCTTTACAAAAGCAGAGAGCCACGCATTTCTCTCGGTGGCAGCCGAACGTTGTAACCCCTGTGCCACCAGAACACGCACCACCGAACGATCTATAAGAAATCTAACCCTCTGCCATTGAGTCGAGACCGATGTTAGCCTCGCTTAGCGTCTCGCCGTTGTCAGATCCCCTTGAGTCGCCTTCTAATTCAACGACCCCAAATAACACTGCTGTATCCTGCAGAAGCCTCCCGTTCTCCACTGTGACAGTCACAGTATGGCTCCATCATCTTCCTCTCTTTCTCTAACCTTCCGCCTTTCGGTCTTCCGACTGGTCCCTTCCACCCAATGTATGTGAGACAGACTTTCACCGTCCTTGCCTCTAAGGAGCATCCTGGTTGCATTTCCTCCGGTATTTAGGATTTCTTGTTACGCTCCATCCAGTCGACTACGACCTCTATGGAAATAGTTCTGCACCCTGTTCTGCCCTGAGCCAATCTCAGTGTCTCTGCCACACCTACCCTAATTACCCCAGTTAGGTCTGATCTTATTAAAAATACTATTCGTTGTTTATCTGAAAACCACGTTTAACTAGGCAGATGAGTAAGACAGGACTTCATTTGCGTTACTTGGGACCTGTTACCAGGAGAGACCAATTCTTGGAGAAAAGACACCATTCTTGGCAGAGGGTCAGCAATGAAGAGGAAGACCCCAAACAAAATGGATTGGGTTCAAACAGCAATGAATGCGCGAATGTACAGGCAGTTTCGTCGCGTTGTGCGTGGAGCTGAGTTGGGGCCGACTCCTTGGCATCTAACAACCTTCCATCTGTAATCCTGTGGATTTCCACTCCTCACATAAATACCTACAGTATCAGGGCTGGCAGGAGCAGGAAACTCCTGACCTCCAAAACAGTATGTAGATAATGCTGGTTTTCAGGACAGAACCTTTGCTATATGTAGTTCCTACTCAGTGATTCTAATGAATGAAATGGAAATTTCTAGAAAACATAAGATTTCTCTATCTTGTTGTTCGTTGTCATCCAGTAAATTCAGATTCACGGCTTTACAGAGTAGAATCACTTCATTGTTTTCTTGGCTGTACTCTTAATGCAAGCAGATTGCCAGGCCTTTTCTTCAGACATAACCCTGGTAGATTCGAGCCAGTCTAATTTAGGATTACAGACGAGAACAAACTGTGGCATCTGCAGACCTTTTGCCATATGCTCAAGTCTCCTTTTACCTCAAGTTAAACATTTCAGACTTTTTAAAAATTAAAACTTGGAGCCAGACCCTTGAGAGGCTGTGGTCTCTATCAGCACTCCCTGAAGACAATAAAGTCTTCTTTGATTCACAAAATAAAAACCACACAAACCCTCTTTTGAGACATAATTCGCATGTTATTGTTGATGTTATGTATGGTTACTAGAAACCAATTCATAACTGACCTTCCAGCGGGTTTTCAGAGGCAGTAAATTGCAGGGGAGGAGATTGCCCATCTTTCTTCTAAGGGGCAGCGATAGATGCGAACTGTATACCTTTGGGTCGCCAGGCAGCACAGCTCCTTACCAATAGTTCACCAGAGCTCTCTACATACTAACATAAAATTCACCTATTTTCAGTGTACAACTTAGTGGGTTTTAGTGTACTCATAAAATTGTACAACTCTCATCACAGTCTATCTTAGAACATTATCACCATCTCAGAAAGCACATAAAGCTTTTGACACTGACCTGTTTTAACTCTTCTTCCTCATACACTGAGCAGTTTTTGCTTATTTGCTTTCATCCGGTTAGTTCTTTTAAGTAAACATGACTAACATATTTTCCAGTTAGGCACCTGCTTCTATATTCTGCAGTTCTCAAATGTGTGAGTTTGGCCTCCTGTGTAATTTATGTTGATTCTGTGGTGTTTCACTTTTGAGAGGACAGGATTTCTGTCTATTTTGATATGCCGTGTGTAATGCCCCTTAGTACATTAAGGGCTTTGTCCCAGGGAAATTTAAGATACCAGGAGAACTGTGAGAGTTAGCTTCTCAAGGTACATAATAGCTTTGTGCATCCAAGGTCTGGTGTGGTATTAAAAGCACGTACACACGTACTTACCTCGCAGAGGAGGTACCATGATCAGGAAGGTGGTTTTCCCAGGGTGAGGTTCAGCCCTTGCACTCCAGACGTGCTGACCCCTGCGTTTTCCCCAAATACAGGAAACTTGATGGCATCAGTTTTGGTAGTGCGGGACTGCATGCATGTTCTCCCTTGTGTGTATGGGGGAAAGACACATATCTGATTCTATAAAATGATGTATGTCATGAAACCTTACTCCTTTTTTCCTTTACTACTATTCTGTTAAATCTAGCTTTTTATTATTTCTACATGGTTTGAACCCACCAGCTGCTCTGTGGGAGAAGGATGGACAGTCTTTTCCCATGTGATTAAGTGTCTCAGAAAACTCACCAGAGGGTCAGCTATGGGTCGGTTCCAACTCTGCAGTACACAACAACAGTATCTCTCTAGGGAGGCAGATTGGGTGGCATAGTCCTTAGAGAGTTAGTTACACTGCCAACCCCAAACAGGCTCTCGGTTCGAATCTACCAGCTACTCCTTAGAGGAAAAAGATAGGTGATCTCCTCCACTATGATTTACAGACTCTGAAAACCCCGCTGGAGGATCAGCTATGAGTTGGTTCCAACTTGACAGCAATGAGTTTTTATTTTCTTCCATTTCTTTCTTTATACCCCTCACCTGAGTTTTCCTGTGGTTCTTTTTTCCTGTGTGGAATTTCTCTAAGCAGTTTATTTAGCACTTAGTTACACTTCTTAGCAAGCCCTAGCGGGGCAGGGTGGTTAAAGCACCCATCTACTGACCAGGAGGTCAACCTGAGATCTAGTGCATGGTCCATGAGGAGATGTGCTGCTAACCCAAAGGTCTTGCGTCTCTGATAGTTCCGCTGCTTCTTGAGAGAAAGAGGGCCGTCTCCTCCCATAATGATTAGAGTCTCAGTCCTGATGGAGGGGCACTTTGAGGTAGAATGGACCCAACGGCAGTGAGTTGAGACTACGCGGCAGCTCTGGTAGCATAGAAAGTTACATGAAAGGTGAGTGACTCAAATCCATCCGCTGCTTCACCGGATTAAGACAGGCATTCGCCCTGGAAATCCAATGCAGGGTCACTCGGAGTCAGAATCCACTAGGCAGGCAGTGGCTTGTAGACTGGACTGAAAGGAGCCTCAGTGCTGCCATGGTTGAATGTTCTTGGCTTAGACCCACCAGCAGCTCCATGGGAGAAAGGTTGGTCATTGTGCTGCTGGAAACAGAACAGCTTTGGAAGCCCCGTAGGAGCACTTCTGCTCTGTGCTGCCGGGCTGCTGGGAGGCACAATCAACCCGATCTAGTTTGTGTTACTTTTATATTCTAGCTCATATTTAGGTTGAATGATTCTTTATCTTTTTTGGGATCTCTCACTCCGTTGAGACTCTGAAGAAAGATGGACTCTTGCCAGTTAAAAACAGAAAGGTTTGCGACCAGTGTCATGGGAAAGATGAAATATTACAGTTACAGAGACTGCCCACATCCACTGCCACTCAGTCGACTTCTGCTCACAGCCACCCTCCATCAGGTTTCTCAGACTATAAATAATGATCATGGGAGGAGATTGCCCATCTTTCTTCCCTGGAGTGGCTGGTGGATTCAAACTGTGGACCTTTCACATTACATACTACACCAGCAACGTTCCTTTGTATTAAGATAAAACTCATTGCCATCGAATTGGAACCAACGCATAGCTGGCTCTCCATTAAATTTCGGAGGCTGTGAATCATACAGGAGGAAACTGACCATGTTTTCCCAGGAGCCACTCGTAGATTCAACCTGCCAGGTTTGGCCTTTGGGTTCACAGTGCACCTCCATGTGAACTATGCCATCAGAACTCCCTATGATAAACTTCCTGAAATTAAGACCTTTGTGTGATTCATCACTTTACTTTTTTTCAGTACACCTTGGGTACTGGTTTATATATCAGAGATGCTTTATTCCTATTTACTGAATAAATAGATTTGCCATAAAGACATTTAAAATGTATCAATACAGGGAAATCCTATAAAAATGATCTTGTGATCACATAGATTTTGCTGAGGGGTCAGTTTGTTGCCTGTATTTACGATCTTCTTGTCTTGAGCCTTGGTACACTGGTCCATACCCCAGCTCTGCTGGATGTCCACTGAAATGCCACTGTTGATAATACATGAATCGTATGTACAACTTAGTGTGTTTACTACGTAGTAAATTCTAATCCTCCTTCCTTTTTCTGACCTGTTACAATAGGTGAGAAGAAACTTGGAACTGTTATCACTCCAGATACGTGGAAAGATGGTGCAAGAAACACTACAGGTACTTTGTTCTTTTGTAAAATAGTGGGCCAGATACTTTATACAATTGTTTTAGGCTTTATATTATTTGTAAAAGAAAATGTTAGGAATGCACCAACTCTTACCTCCATTAAACATTAAAGAATACTATATTCCTCCACAATTTAATGTCTTCTCTAGAATTGTTCTCTTAATTACATGGTTAGAAACCTTAAACCCACTGCCAGTTCTCACACATAGCAACCCTCCCTTCCACTGGGTTTCTGAAGCTATATATTTTAACAGGAGGAGACAGTCCATCTTTCTCCCTTATAGCAGCTGGTGGACGAGAACTTCCAAAGAAGCATGGCTTTTCATTAGCAGCACAACTCACCATGGACTACACCAGAGCGCCTTAATTACATGGGGGAGGGGGTTATGGACCTTTACAGTCAGAGCTGACTTACAGCTGAGCCTCCAGTGGGAGCTCTAATTTACATGGGAGAAAGTAGTGTCCTAATAAATTAAAAATACTCATTGCTGTCTAATTGAAGCCCACTCACAGCTGCCCCCCGCCCCGAAGGTTTTCAGAGGTTGTACATTGGAAGGAGATTGTCCGTCTTCCTCCCGCTGAGCAGCTGGTGGTTTCAAGCTGTCCGCCCTTATTTTCACAGCACAACTCCCTACAGAAGTTCTTAAAAATTTGATACTGACTTCTAAGAATGAACTTTTAAGCAAATTCTTTTTTGTTAAATAATGTATAGAAATAGCTAGCCACACTACAACAAGATAAAGGTAAATAATCCAATAGAAAAATGGGCACAGGATATGAACAGACACTTCACTGAAGAAGACATTCAGATGGCTAACAAGCACATGAA